ACAAGCAGCTCAGAGTCCATCATAAGAAACGGTGGGAGAGAAATGGTAAATGAAACATTTCATAGTCCCTGCTGCAGCCTCAGAACCATGACTATTCTTTACTTCCACAAAGAAACAACTACTGGTGTCACATAAATAATCCCATCTTTATTATTTCTCTGGTTATAGAGTATGGGCTGGCATTTGAGTTCTGACAATGCTAATTCTCAATGTTAATGAATGACTGCACAAGAAAAAAAGCCTGTGACAGAAATCTTAAGAAAATTTATCAGCATTTTTGGGGCTTAATTAATCATATGGTGAAAAATGCCCTGTGAACAACACCCCATACACAAGGCTATGTAGGACATAATGAATATGTTACTTTGCTTCCCTGATTCTGCTGCTTTCTGCACTTTTCTGACAGTTTTACATTCCTGCCTGCCACTGTCCACAAGCATCTTTGTTTGCTCTCCAGAGTTAGTCAGCAGAGCAGCTCTGTAATGCACTGTGCACTGAATATGCGCAGACGTGTGCATGGTGCATGTTTCCCAGACTGACAATCTCCAGGACCATGTTGGATTTGAATTTCTAGCTGTGAGTAGCTGCTGTTGCCAGCAGTATTATTTGGAGACCCTTTGTGAATCCCAGCTCCACAAGGTGGCTCTCAATTCCTTTAAAAATACCACTGCATTTGTGGATTAAACACATCCAAGAATGATCTTAAGAACAATCTTTAGGGCTCTATGGATGCACAACACTATAGTGAAACCCAAGATTCCCTTTAGAGCTGGAAACTAGACAACGTCTGACACAGACAGTACTTAAGTATTACAACTTCAAGGAATATTTCATGTTAGCTGCTCAATAAATTCTGAAAAATTAGAAAATAAAAGCATTATATATGCCTGGAATGTGAAATGGGACATTCAGTGCCTTCTCTGCTCCTTTGTGGCTGCTAATATCACCTTCTCTCCTGGAAGTGTCCTTCCCCTACTCTGTGTCTCTGTAGGATCATGTTAACATAGTCATCATGTACCCAGGGGTGCAGTCTCTGTTAGTGTGGACAGCAGGATAGCAGTTTGGTGCTCCTCAGGACAGAGATTTTGCCTTAGAAGGTGAGGACCTACAATGAGGTATTTACTTGACTCCAGTCAGTCTTCAGCATCCCCAAGCAGACCTCCCAAATCACTTTGTGGCTGGCCTCATATGACCATGGCCTCCCAAACAGTTTTGCCTCCTACAGCAGCTCATCTGAATATGAGGTCCTGCCCTGCAGCCTGTGTCTCCAAACACCCCTGGCTGGGTGGCCATACAGCATTAACAGTTCTCTGAGCATGGAGAGCCACAGGTGAAACTGGGACAAGACTGTGGCCCCGCAGCGTGACTGTGTGAGATAGGCTGGGCTGCAGCACATGTGCAAAGCAAATGCTGATGGTGTAAACCCCAGATTGGGTGCACAGGACTGCCCTCCCTCCTGGGTGCAACATTGCTGCTTTTGGTAGTCAAAAATCAAAATTCATGTTGCTTACGTCCTGAGAAAATGTTAAGAAAACCTGACTAAACTTTGGAAAAAAAAATATTCGCTTTCTCTTCTTTTGGGTGTTTGAGGTAGTACTTTCAGTCTTCCACAGCAGGGCTAGAAACGTATTTAACTAATAAAATTTGAAAGCTGAAGCTGTATAATAAACAGTAACTATCACAAGGCAACGTTGGGTGTGTCTAAGCTGTAACGTTAAATTCATTCTTCTTGTCGCTTCCTTCAAAGCTCCGCTGAGCTCAGCCCCTCCCTGGTTATCCTCCCCTGCCGAGCTTGCTGCAACCCCTACGCCTTGCTGCTGTTCCCACCTTTGTCCCTTCTTCTGTCGGCTCCTTGCACAACTCGCTGTGCCTTTGCCTCCGCCGCACTTCTGCTGGCACAGCTTTTCCCCTTGACCCCTTCTGCAGTGTGGTCTCTTCTCTCCTCTAAGGATTGGTTAGAGTGAAGCCATTTACTTCTTGTTCTTCTAATTTCCCTTTTGTTTTCTGTCTGTCTTTAAACATGAGTTCTTCCATGGAGAGATGGTGCAAAGATGAAATTGTGGGTGCTAATAACTGTGTACGTTTGCCATAAACTTGAATCTGGTAGATCTGCCCCGTGTTCATCTGCACAATCTTTGGAGCAGCTGAGGTTGCTTTTCTGCTCTAACTCTTTGTAGTAGGTGTCTGACAACGAGTAAGGACTCTGGGGAGAATCTCTGCTACAGAAGTTTATATCCTGGAGCCAGCACAATTTCATGAACAATATCCCAAAGGATAGGCCAAGGGACATGTCTTTCAGTCCAATATGTAGTTTTTACATTTTCGCATGTAGAAAGTCTGCAGTCAAGAGCCAGAAATGTGATATCAGCAATGGAACTCAGTTCATTAAAAATTCAAATAAATGGAAACAACAGGACGTATTATTTATCTAAGCCTCAAATCAATCTGACTACTACGCATAATGATCTTAATTAGAAAAGTGAGCCAAAGCAGGAAGACAGTCTGTCTCCTGGCTTTGAAATTATCATACCCCTGTCAGTATGCTTGGGTAACTTGTAATTAGGGACAAAGGTTACACATAATTTTATATGCTGAAAAACCGGTTTTATACCTGTCATTTCAAAAAATATTTAAGAAACAGATATAAGACTTGCTAACCCTATTATGCTTTGAATTTTTTCTACCAGATTAGTAGTGTGCACTAATTAGTTGATGGACTTCAGAAGAAATAGTTTTGCCTTTATGGAGAGCCTGGATACTAATATCATGGCTAGGCTTTGCGAACGAAGATTTGGGAATACTAAAAAGTAACTAGTAATATCAGTATCAGTCACTGTACAAGTTCCCTTCCAAAGTTTGCTACCTTTTCACATCTGTTTCACCTGCATGGAAAATGAAGCTCAGAAAAGCAGTGGGGGCTGTCCAAAAGCAGAGAGTAAGGGTTTGCCTGTTCAAAAACTTTATTGGCACCTTGCACCAATATGCCTACAATTACATCAATGCAGTTCCCTGTACAGTCACCCACCTTCTTCCCTTGTTTATCTGCAACTGCTGCCATTGAATATGAAGTGTTCGAGTTTTTTACAAAATGGCAGTCCAATGATCACATTTTCTTTAATATTTTATTGACCAGCTGTAATTAGAAAACAGAAGACCTAACTCCAAGGTCCTGCCTCATCAAAGTGGCACATCCGGGCTTAATTTAAACAAGTTCCTCAATTTAGTTAAATCCACTGAGCAGGCCTAATGCCGGCTCCCAGCCTGGAGTCACACACGAGTACCACTCTCAGCAGCCAAGCCTTATCTTCCGTATTGGAGCACAACTCTTCCTCTTTTATCGCAGATACAGATGCCCTGATATTTTTTCAAGGTAGTATTTCATCTTGGAAATTCATTAGAAATAGATCTAATGCTTTCTGTCACATGAAACAGCCTTGCTTTCCCAGAACAGTATTTCCACAAAAAAAATATGGAAATTAAAATCACAAGTAGGATCTGTTTCATCAAAGTATTAGCTACATTTCTGTGAGGTTGACAATCACCTTTTTAACATGGCAGGAATTACATGTGCAATTCTCTTTAAAGGGTGTTACAAATGTTCATCCCACACTGAAAAAAGATCACAGTTGGTATGAGTAATAACTTTTTTCTTGAACACAAATAGTTCCCCTCTAGCTCTGTACATATCCTCCAACATCAATGTAACCACAGCTGTCAAAGCAGCCTCACCTCTTTTTATGTATATTTTAGCTTTAATTTTTTCCCATGCTTTCCCTTAGTGGACCTTTTTTTTTTTTTTAAAGGTCCTAAACCTGTTCTCCAATTTTGTGGGCAAATTCACTGCAATAACAGATCTTGCTGTTTAGACATCTTTAAACATTATTATTAGCGTACAAGAAATTAGAGACCTACATCAAGATCTGGAGGTTTGGGTGTTGTTTTTTAATTGAAAGTGAATTTCAGATCATAGTTTCCCTCATCAAGAATCTCCAAGCACTTTGACATAGTTAAATGAGTTCCTGTGGCCTCCTTTTGTACAGGCAGTAGCAGTCTGTGTCCAACAGCCTCAGCTTAGCCTCAATGGTCACCAGCCGAGTGTACCTGGTCAGGGAGATGGGAGGGTGAGGATGCAGGAGCTCAGCACAGAGGATAGTGGTAGGCTGAGAGGGCACACATAGTCTTAAACTGCACGTGTGATTGTAGTCTCTAACTGCGCCAGGGGAGGTTTAGGTTGGACATTAGGATGAATTTATTCATAGAGAGGGTGATTAGACATTGGAATGGGCTGCCCAGGGAGGTGGTGGAGTCACTGTCCCCGGAGGTGTTTAAGGAAAGACTGGACATGGGACTCAGTGCCACGGTTTACTTGATATGGTGGTGTTTGGTCATAGGTTGGACTCGATGATCTCAGAGGTCTTTTCCAACCCTTGAAGCAGCCAAGTCCCCTTCAAAGGTGAAGCACACATATCATCGAATCACAAAATGTTTAGAGGTTGGAAGAGTCTTTAAAGATCACTCAGCCCCAATTTCCCTGCCACGGGCAGAGAAACCTCCCACTAGACCAGGTTGCTCAAAGCCCTATCCCACTGGCCTTGGACATTTCCAGGGATGGGGCATCCACAACCTCCCTGGGCAACCTGTTCCACTGCCTAAGCACCCTCACGGTAAAGAATTTCTTCCTTATATCTAATGTCTAACACCTATATCTACATCCCCTCAGTGAAGCACCCACTTGCCCCTCGAAGTTCCCACGTCCGGCCGGGGCCCCGCGGCGCCCGGAACGCCAGCGCCGGGGACGCCGTTTCCAGACGGGCCGCAGTGGCGCGAGGCGCGGTTGTCATGGTGCGGGCCCGGGCGCGGCCGCCATGGAGGAGGAGGAGGACACGGTGGGGCCGGGGGGCAGCCGGGGTTCGCCGGGCCGGGGTTCGCCGGGCCGGGGTTCGCCGGCGGGGCGCGGGCAGTGCTTCCCCGCCGGGCGTGCGGCGGCTGCGGGGGTAGTGGGGGAGGCGCCGGTGGGCGCTGCCTTCCCCGGCTCGGTCCTGCCCGGCCCTGCCCACAGCGGGGCCCGGCGGCGGCGGGCGAGGCCCTGCGCGGCCCCTCGGCGTTGGCCGGTGCTCGGTCCTGGCCGGGGATGGGCCCGGCGGAGCTGCCCATCCCCAGCACACACGTGTGGGGCGCCTCTGAAAACCACTTTGTTTTAATCTGTTGGTTTCCCTCTCTCCCGGCGCGTGCAGGCTTTCTTCGGATTTCCAGAAATTTATTTTTCCTTTCGCCTTCCGCTCTAGTTTTTGTCTCCGCTTTCATTTCTGATGTGTGGCTTTTATTTTTTTAAGCCACGCCACGTGCGTGCGAGGCGTGGATCACCATTCCCCTGATTCTAATGCTTACACACGCACTTAGTGCTTGCCAGGTAAAATTCCGTGTTTAGAGTTACCTGTGGCTGATAACAAAGGAGATGATCACTTGTTACCAACCAGAGCCAACACAAAAGGTGTAAATATTCTCTATGAATAATCTCAAAAGCTGTGCAGTAGCCTGGTAATAGTGCCATTTTTTATACCCAAATATAAAAAAGTGCCATTTTTCACCCACTTGTGAAACACTCTTATGATTTTTTTTTTTCCTTTCAGAGAGATTTTAATGAACGTTGTGCCCAGTGTTCAGAAGTGAACTGGGGTCTCACTGATGGAGGCAGATATTATTGCAGATCTTGCCACAATGTTACTGAGGTAAAAAGCTAAGTTACTGGCCTTGGAAAAGGTTTATTTTGATTACTTCTTTCTGTATGTTAAGAAAATGTTAGGTTTTTCTCCTTGACATTAGGAGTTGAAGGCAGTATTGTTATTCTTCCTTTTTCATGCTTTACTTGATGCTAAGTCTAACGTTCCTTGAAATCACAAAATTTAGAATGAACCATCTTGGCCTACTGTGTTGCTGTAGTCCTGGGGTGCTCTCTGGATACCTTAGAAGCATTGCCTGGGTGTTGTTGCATTTTACTACAGTACAAATGTAGGCAAACTCTGGTGCACATCACCTGTATGACCATAGTAGCAATTCTCTATTTTAGCAATTTCTGAATGAAGAGTTCAGAGTGTCCTGTCCTCTTCTTACTTTAGGAAATTTGAATAAGTTCCTCCATTATGTTTTATGTGGTGGGGCAATCCATGCAAGTTAGACTTGGCGTTTTTTCTTGATAATACTCCTGTTTTGCAGAGAACTAGAGAAGTTGTAAACACTGATTTTATGACTAATTCAAGAGTCCAGACAATCTCTAAAGGTTCAAGAAAGCAGGAAAAAACTGGTATGTATGAGTTTCTAACTGTATTTTGCATCAGTGGCTGTTCAGCCAGGGGTCACCTAGGCCATTATGTCTTTGATGGAGACCAAAAGCAGATAGCTAGGAAAGACTGTGGGAGTGGAAACAAAACACACCCCCTAGATGCTGCTATAACCTTCAGCAATCACTTTTGGTGACTTCCTGAGCCACAGGTGACCTCTGCGAGCACAGTGGTGTTTTGGTTTTTTTTGATTGAACTGAGCTATGTGTTACTTATTGCTGCTTTGATTCGTGGAAGTAAATACTCGCTGAAGATACTGGTGGCATGCATTCAGGTGTGGTGATCCCTTTGTTCCTTCCTTGTGATGGCTATCACAAAACCAGAGAAGTTGTTTGTCTTGGTGAGATATGATGGTAGTCCAGCTCTTAGAGAGTTTCAGACTGGCTTGTGTTAAAGGTACTTGTCCCTGTAACCTGCACAAAACTACATGGAAGAGTTTTCATGGAGTTCCAATAGCTGAACCAGTATTACATCTTTCATCCTGAGTCACTTTTATACTTTTACTTTCATGATTCAGAAGAATAATGCTGATTATATATGAGGATCTATGCCTTAAGAATATCATGGTGAGGCTGTTGCTGGAGCTGTGTGTGTGTTCTGTGATGACTGGATAGATCTCTTACTGTTGTGGCCACTTTCAGAAATAAAGCTGCATTACAATACCAAATGAAGCATGGGGTTATCCTTGTCTCTGATGTGCTGATCTACCATTGCTCTGCTGCGGTGGCAGTGGATTGCTACATTCCTTTGAAAAGAGCAATTGTGAGGAAGCAAAGGGAGGGGTGAAACAACCTGAACACCTCCACTTGTCCTTATCCTGTATTGCTCCTGAAGCCTGGGCCATGTACTCAGCACTTCATGCTTTTTGTTTCTCCTGTTGGAAAGGTCATTAATTGACGCCCAGGCTTCTGCAGAAAGAAATCCTTACCTTCACACAGTCCCTTCTGTGAGTGCAGTCATGTTACGCTATGTTTTCAGGCATTTATAGGACTAAGCTGTAGCTGTGGGTAACAGTTAAAGCCAGCATCACTGAAGCAGAGCAGAAGCTTTGAGCAGATAACCTATAAGATGGCAAGAGGCAAGGTGTGATTGGGGGGAAGGGTAATGAAGAACAGGTGTGGGGGGAATGAAAAGAGAGTTGAGAAATGCAGAGAAAATTTCTAAAACTGAAAGCTTGTGGAAGAGGCTAGTAGTAAACAGAGAGAGGTAAGGGTGAAAAGTAGATGTAATGCAGCCTGAAGAAATAGAGAATCGACTGGAGCAGGCCCACTCCTTATGAAATTCATGTTGTGCTGAGATTTGCTAGAACCTCAGAATATCTGAGAAAGTTTCTTTCATTTAAACTTGTATGATTCTGTGGGAGAGAATGGTGAAGCACATGATGGTGTTGGTTGTTTTTTGCCTGACTCACTACTGTAATGTTCCAAGTTTCTGTGCCAGGGATGGGAAAGAAATGTTCATATTTCATTTTTTAATGGCAGGTTCTTAGTTATTTTAAAACTGGTCATTTAACAATGCTCCACTGAATTACAAATGCCACACTAGATGTTATAGTGAAATACATTATTCTTGGGAAACGTGTGGAGAACAGTGCTTGTTCAGTAACTTTTCTTCATTTAAGGCTGTGAATAAATGGAAGTTAATGGAGTATTCAGTGTAGCTGGTCTATGCACTAGAATCTGAAAGTCTTAAACAGAGAGACTTGTCTTTGTCCTGGGACCAAAGGAACAATGTGAAGTGGAAATAAGTGCGCGTAAGGTTAAAGAAACCCAAAACAGTGCCAACAAACAGAAACCCCCTTCTTTTCCCCCTTAGATGGAGGCTGTGAATGGTATGTTTGTGAAGGCTTTCAACTTATACTCAAGAAACAAGCTGAAGCTTTAGAAGCATTAGGAGTATGTTCACAAATGAAGGTATGTAGATGTCAGTGAGCTGTGTTACAGAAGGTGTTATTTTAACAAATTTTAATTTTTAAAATGACACAAACAACTCCCTCTTTAAAAACATTGACCATATAAAATCAAATTTTGTATCTCTGGTAATTTTAAAAAATATTTTATAAATCACAGTTAGTAAAATTAGAGATGGAATATTACTCAGATTCCTGAGTTAGAAATTACACTCTGTTCTCTCAGCAATTAATGGTCTTGTAAACTTTGTGCTAATCATCCATTTGTATTTATAAGGATGAAGTTCTGTACAGTTTTTGGAGGTGTTACCTTCAGAAGAGCAAACAGGCATATTGCAACAGACCAGCTGGGGAAACTGTCAAAGCATTATCAGTAAGTGAAAGCTCAAATCCCTTGAGATGTTTGATATCTTTTTAAAGCAACAACAGAAACATTCTTTGTTCAAGATATCTGGCTGGTAATAATGTCATTTCAGTATGAGGGTTGTCATCTGAACAGGGTTCCACATGTCCATTTTGTTATTTCTGGGGTTTTTTTACCTGTTTCAAGAGATAAATACTTCTGTGAGTATTTAAAAGTGCTTATTTAAAAATATTGCTTTGTCTTGACATAGAAAATCAGTAGATAGAAATCACCATGCAAAATGCATCAGCAGCTACAATCCTGTCCTGCCTGCTCCCTTGAAGTTACTTATTTCATCAAACTTTGATTCTATATGCTGCCAACTTTCTGGTCGTTGTGGCAGATTGAAATGTATTCACTAGAAGTCTTTTAATATTGAGAAATCCTCTAAAAATACTTTTTCCCCCATGATTTCTTCATGTACTGTTGATTTATAGAGAAAGTAAAAATGTGAACAGTTTGGGTTTTGACTTTTACTGTTGATTTTGTGTCTGTCCTGCTTTTGTGGTTTGTTAAGATTGAAACAGTAAATAACAGTAGCTAATACAAATATGTATTTGCAAAAAACAGGTACGTGAGAGTAGTACAGATGTGGACAGTGAACCAGAAAGACCCAGCCTTCTGCACTTGCTGTCCCTCTCTGAAAGTGAGGGGGATCTGCTGACTGACTGCAGCTTTGCCTCATCCATGAGCAAGGTTTCAGGTAGGAGCAGTGAACTGAGCTATCTAGAAACCGGTTTTTCTGTAGTTTTTAAATATAAATAAATATAAAATGTATTTGTGCACAGTGAATTGGAGGAACTGGTTGGAAGATGTAAAGTTTTCAGTCCTGTTTGACACTGCAGTACTTTATATTCTAGCAGAAATTGAAGACTTCCCCCCTCAACCCCCGCCCTAGAAGATGAAAGTTGAACAGGACCTGTAAATACACTGAGAAATGCAGGAGGAAGTTCTGTTTTATAACAAGTTTGCTCCATGCCTCCTGTTTGGATTGGGAAAAAGTTGCTATTTTGTTTGCAAAGCTAAATGTTCACAAACACAGCAGCTTTGAAGAGTAAGCACTTGTTTAGCCAGTAGCAGAACTGTCAGTCATGACTTTGATGTTAAAAAACATGAGTTTGTTCTTTGGGGGGGGTATTTTTTTTCTATCCCATAGATATATTTAGCTTTTTAATTTTTTTCTTTGAAGTATTTTGGTACTTCTGTATCTTTTGTCTCTGCATTCTTTTTACTAATTTCCCTATAACCCCTTCTCTGAAAAATCATATTTTAGTGTTCTGTGAGTTTCTGCTTTCTGCTAGCAATACCAGCTTGAAAATATTTGCAGAATGATAAACTTTTTAATTAAAATGTTATAGAAAATTGGACTGTTTGGTGCTAACTGGGTAAGTGTAATGCCAGACAGTGCTGCAATATCTGATACTGGAAGTACGTTTCAAGGCAGATTTGAAAGCTTTGCTTGCATTTTAAACTCCTGAGGTTTTATTTTTTGCTTTATTCTTTGCTTGCCTTTTCCTTCATCTGTCTCAGTGTTTCTTATTTCCATGTTATGTACTACCCTCTTTATGTCCCATTTCTGTTCTTCTGTGATATTGCCTGTCTGCCCTGAGAAGAATGCAATCCTGTTATTTTGTGCTTTTCTCTTTATTTGGTAAAATCTAGAAATGGTAATAGAATGAGAAATTTGATCAGAAGCAATTAGAAAAATAAATGCATTTTAGAAAATCCAAACAGAAATAGGGAGGGGGGCAAAGGTGCAAAAATGGTGACGCAAATTTTTGTGAATATTATTCAAGTACTTTCACCCTTAGATGTTAAAATGACAACATTTTCAGGTAAAGAGCCACTGTATGTTTGTACATGTAGAATCTTGGGTGTTACACAAATATAATATGAAGAGGAAAGAATTGAGTGAAGATTTTCTAGTGAAAATATTCCCTTGAATTTTCTTCCTCTTTTTGGTGTCTAGAGGAACTCCTTTCTTCCTTGGTACTTTTGCCTTTTATAGTTATGTTTCTTAGAGTTTTAGAACAGCTAGGTAATCCTAAATAGCTATAATTTTTCATGTTCTTGGTTTATTGTTTCAGAAGTTGAATTCAGCTTCCAGTAGTCATCAATTTCACTATAATAACTTGAAATTAATTAAGAGTTCAATGACACTAAAAGTAAATTTTGGTGAAATCAGACAAACATAGAAACAGTTTTGTATGTTGAAGTTTAACACAAGTAATAGTAAGTGTTCTCTAGTCTATTGTGAACTCTTGTGAAGATTCATAAATTTTCTCCTCAGTGCCGTTTTTGCCGAGCTGTTGTTGCCACAAACTAGAAACCTCAACACTCTTCTTTGCCTAAGAGGCTTGTCCAGACAGCAAGCATTGTTTTTGTTATTTTTTCTGCAGGATTAATAGCAAATTCCACTGAATATAGCATTGAGATACTGCTAGAGAAGCCTATAAAAACTCTTAAATTATTAGCTGTGTGTAACTGTGTGTTGTCATGCCTTGCATAAGCTAGAGGAAATAAAAGGAAATGATGTACCGTCATTAAGGCCACAAATATAATGAGGATTATTTTAAATTGAATTGAATGTGAAATTAATAATGGAACTGCCTTCAAGGACAGGCATCCCTGTGAAAGTTGAAGCCGTTGACTACAAGGATTAAACCGATGTTCCTGCCTTTGTTCTCTGACGTACCTGTGCGTGATAGCCACACAGGTTGCTCTTCTCTGTCCCAGGTGTGTTGGAGCCGGCTCTGTTACCTGTGCCGTGCCCACAGCACTGCCGGCTCAGGAGCCGGTAGGTGGCATCCCAGACCAGCCCTGCCGATGGAAATGCTGTTGGCAGTGTCCTCCTCCCGCGTATCAGCGGGCTGGACCTCCACCGCTGCCCCCTCGCAGGCGTGGCTGTCGCCTGCCAGTGTAACCGCGGAGCTGCCAAGCTCTCTGCAGTTCCAAACTGTTCTGTGCAGGCTGCTTGCCATGGCCCTGCAGCTCCCAGCTGGGGAGCTGTGCATCCAGCTCTCACTGTTCCTGTCTGAACCAGTGAACAGTCTGTGGGGAAACACAGAGAGAAAAATCTCTGCAGTCAGTGCTGGATTTTGTGCTGGTTTGCTTTAAATGCATTTTCCTTCATCCTGGCTGGGTCATGATGTAGGGAAGAGAAGTTTTTTTTTTTTAAATTATTTGTCTGAAAAGGTCCGTAACTCATAAATCACTCTACTAAATTAAATTTTTTCTTTACTGTTCCTCTTAGTTTTTAGTGATTCATCTCAGTAAGGAAGAAGGGAGGTTTGGTTGTTTATTTGTTTGGGGTTTTTCCACCCTCTTCACCATTTGCTACATTCTTTTTTAAAGTTGTTTCTTTGACATTGAATTTAAATACGGTTTTAAAAAAAATACCTGTGTTTCCACAGTTAGAGATTATAGGGCAGACCTTAACATCAGTAAAATTTCTGCAGTGGAAATGACGTTTTCGTTCAAGTCCTGCCTGTGCTGAAGTTTAAAACTGTTTTCATCCTCAACTGGGAGTCACTGATTAAAGTACATCAAATTTTCCCTTGTTTCCTCACTGTTCTCTTATCTCTCAAATGGAAAATAGTATTTCCAGCTCATAAATAATGTTATTTATATGTTGTATAGGAGTTAATATCCTTCCAGACATCCAGGTTTAAGAATAGTTCCCAACAAAAGGTCTGTTCTGATGGGTACTATAGGCAGTTCTGTCTTTTCATATGATCTGGTGTCTTAGTCAATTGAATTAGCAGTTTATGAAATAGGTTGTTATTGCATGTCATGGTAGATGAGTAAATTAGAGTTAAGCTGTTTAGTAGAAAAGTACACAACCAACCAAACTGCTCTGTAATTATTTCAGAATGTTACTGGTTGTTGAACAAGGGTCCTTGTATGTTCATTTATCTTGTTTTCTGTATACCATGGATCATGTGTCTATCATATCAATTACTTTTTTCCTCTTCTGTTTTTAACATAAACCCAAGAAAGCACCTCTATATACTCTGGATCAGTAGATGGCAGCTTGTATTTAATGAAGAACCAAAAGGAGAAACTGAGGATGACAATGCCAACGACCCTTTCATTTTGTTACATGGCATTACTCTGGTTGAGAGAACCGATTACGTTGTCTGAGCTCTTAAGGTATGAATAGTCTCTAGTGAAGAATTTTTACCTTTATAAATAATAATTTTTTAAGAAATTAGATCTGTTACCCTCTTACTAATTTGCTCAGTAATAGTGAGAAGTTCTCTATATTTAATTGTCTTATCTTTCATTTGACATAACAATTTGTGCAGCTGCTCTTGGAGGAGGTTCTTCTCTGTCAGTCGCAATGAATTTCAAAGACCTGTAAGGATGAAGGTTTTGGAGCTAAAGAAACTTTTTATCTTTCTCCTCCAAAATTTCATAAGGTTCACTGGAGGTGTGTATGACACTTTTGTGATACTTGCTGTTGTCAGCATGTCAGATTTAAATGAGTAAACATTCTCCAGGACTTACATCAGTGTCGTCATATTAACAATACCAACATTATATAGTGATCTGAAAGGTAGCAAGGTAGCTTCATGCAATGAAGTTGGGCACAGAAATTAATATAGGAAGTTCGTTTTGTCTTCATATCTTTGTATCTGTAATTATGAGAGTTCAGGATAATACACCTTTTAATATAGTAGAAATAAATTGTTCTAATAATAGGGTTTGATGCTAAATGGAGACTGTCAAGCTCTTGCTGACAATGCAGTTCCCTTCTCTCCCCTACTACAAGGCTATGAACACATTCCTTATTTACTTCAGGAATGAAAATTAGTTCATCAACTCTTCTTGATGGCAATAAATATTTTAAATCAGGCCCAAATAGTTTAAGTTCGGGAATTCCTAGATTTTCATTGGAAGGCCTTTCGTATACTGATACTCCTTTTAAAGTGACTTTTGAAATATTGGGTGTTTTTGAAATACAGGTGAAAAAGCACTAATTTGCCAAAATTTAAGGAACAGAAATACTCAAGTAACTACATTGGCAAATCAGATTGAAAATTCAGATAAAATAAAGGAAAAACTGATTCAAAATTCAGTTGATATGGTGGATTTCATTTCTTTAATTTTTATTTTTTAAATATGTAACCTGTGACTTAAAAGGGAAGGCAATGAGTACATCATTCCCCACCTGTGGTGCTTATAACTGATGTAGCTGCTGAAAGCATAGTGAATGCAAGGGAGGTTTTACCTTAGAGCCATTGTGGCCTCTCTCCTGTGGAGTGCCTGTTCCACTTGCACTTTTCTGGCTTTGTACAAACTTCCCAAGAAGGGTGGATGTTGAAGGATGCTCTTTTGCAAGTACTTCTGAAAAAGGGGATGTTTGTATGTCTTGAAGTACAGTAGTTGGTACTAGGTAATTAATTTCTATGCAAAACAGTTTAACCCTTTGATTTTACTTTAGGGGTGGCCGTGTCCTTCATTGGCCAGAATTGCACAAACCATTGTGTATTTGCAGAATTGGATATGTTGTTGTATAAAAGATGCTTGTAAAATTTTCAGCAAAACGCCGTAGTATTCAGAATTCAAACTAGCCCTCTGCAATACAGAAGTGTTTATTGAGTAGATTAAGATCTAGTAGAACTCAAAAAGTGGTTTTCAATAACAAGATTTATTACCGGCTACTGTCTTCCAAAGGAAATTCTGTACGACTCACAACTCCCATAGCATGCTCTGTAATTTTGTCAATGATTAGAAAATAAATAATGTAAAACCCGTCTGATAATGTTTGCATATGACAAAAATCCGAGTAGTAAAATACAATTACTGGGACAGAGCAGCTGGTTCACACTAAGCGATTATTAATGACCCATTTGGAGAGAAAAATAAATAGTTAAGTATCTCTTCTTTGGTTATTGTATCTTGGAAACTTTCTCTGGGTTATACCAGGCAAAGACATCCTCACAAGTTCCTGTCTTAGTACAATGGTGTGGTTGGAAAAAAACCTTACCAAACAACAGCTGTCAAAGTCAACTGTTAAGAGGAAAGGTAGTTTATTTTGTTTGCATACGAATGGTATATTGTTGTATTTAGCACTTTAAAAACTGGCAGCTACAGAAAAGATCCAGGAAAATGGTTCAGAACCTGGAGAACATCCTTTGGACCAAGATCCTGAAGAGGTGAGCACACTTACATGAAAGGATTTAGAGAGAACATGAAAGCCGTAAAAAAAGCTGGAAGAGATAAAAAAAATCAAGTACCAAATATAGCACAGAAGGGCATAATCTGAAATGAATAATTGGAAATGGAAATAAGATTATTTGAATGAGATGATACCATTTAATTAGATAGAATTTATGTGTGTAAAATGGAGTAAATCATAATGAATCAGTGACTTAAATGCACTGAATATACAAACTGAATTAAGCACAGAAAGTGACGTTTAAAAGAATGTTATTTGTATTGCAAAGTTTTACCATGATACGATAGTTGTATAAGACTGTAATTACGTTATCATGCTTCCCTCCCTACCCTTAAGGTCTTTGCCTTTCAACAGGTTTGATGAAGAAGGGGAAAGAATTTTAAATTGCATGAACTACCATAAAATACTTATTTTCTTACTTCTGAATATTTAAGTTTAAAAAAATCAGACAATGTTCACATTTTTGCATGCATTAAGATACACAGATCAAAATAACGACAAAGACCAAAGATGAAAATGATTCAGAGAAAACATTAAGTATTCAGCATTACCTTTTAAGTCTTTGTAGGCAAATTGTTTTATTTAAACCAACTGAATTAGAGTTCTGTTTAAAGTTCTGCTTTGTTTTTTCCTCAGTTTGGTTTTCTCTGTACCCTGAAGTCAGCTGACTACCACTCCTCCCTTGTGATACATACTTAGGCGCTATGGTGGGGCAATCTGCCAGCTTTTAAAGGATTTACAGCACCAAAAATATACTTACTCCTCCTTGCTACTTGACACACGTAGCAGAAAAACACTACAATTACTTCCTCTGAAAGGAACATTTTGGTTTAAAAATAACATTTTTCACAACCTTCTTCTCAAGCCTATGCTACACATTAAATCCTTTTCCATTGTGAATAGTCTCACAGTGTTCCATGTGAGGTATATTATTTATCTAAATAATAAAATAGTTGAGTTCTGGACAAAGTTTCAAGATGCTAGACTTTGAGATTCTGAGTAATAATGCCTTTCAAATAAGGTTATACCTAGTTGTGCTGGCAGGACTGAACTTGTAATCAGTTTGTGGCATTACCGTGTGGCTTTAACAGATGCATCATTTCCTTGGAGCATGCTGAGGACCTAGGATTTTTTTCATAGTTGGACCTTACTAATGTACACTGCTGTTGTAATTAAGAGAACATGGCCTGTGTACTGTATGTGCCAGTCACATTTTCAAGCACTTCCCTGACAGAACATAGTCTTGCAGGTGTTTTGACAGTCTCTCTGTTAAATGGGAGGTTTGGAGGAACTGCAGACAGAAGAAACTGTTCTGAAGTGCTATTCCAAATCTGGACTTTTGGATTAAGTGTTAAAAACTCGATAAGCAGCACATTGTATTCATAGCAGGCTTTTTATGCTGTAATTTTAGAATGTAAAAGCAGCTCTTAACCTGAGAGAAAAGAGCATTCTTTTTTATGGAGACAGTAATTTCAAGCTAGAAAACATGGCATTATTTTTTAAACAGTTGCGGTGCTTTGACTTAGTACAGCCAAGTTAATGAAAACTTTTTTAGAAAAGACATTTTGATGAACATTAGTTGTCTCTTGCAGCATAAGGATGTGGTTCCAGCATCAGTTTAAGCTGCTCCAAATTTCTGTTGCTGTGGTCCTGCATAAACATTCTTGTTCTTTCTCTTGCTCTAGTAGTAGCATTTATCCAATGGAGGGTTTAGTAATTGAAAGAAGTGGATCTGTAGAAGATTTATTTTGTAAAAGTTTAACTGGACATTTTAGTGCAGGTTAATGTGCTTCACTGCAGTCTCTTTCTGCCTATATGCAGTAATATTCCTGCAGTCAGCTGAGTCTGGGAATCTATCTGGTTGGAGTAAAACCCTGGAAGAGACTGATTCTCCATCTGATCCTCTGAGAAGTCACACAAGTGCTTTTGTCAGCAGGGAGGAGTGTGTGGCCGGGGACTGAAGGGAGGGTGGGATTTCCCATTTCAGAGGCAGCAAGCTGTTAGGGTGGTTTGGCTGCATCACCACTACACCACACCCGAGGGAAGGTCCTGATTGTCTGTCCTCTTCCAGCTGCTGCTGTGCTGGCTCAGAAGGTTGCTGCTCTCTGGTTCCAGCTCTTCAGGTCTAATGGTGTGATTGTGCCTTAACTCGACTCAGCCAAAGCTTATCAGCTGAGCCAGTAATGGGTCACCGTTGCTGAAAGAGGACGATCTTGCTTCCTTTTGTTCTCCTGCCTGTGTGATGCATCCTCTTCCCTCTGCCAACTCTTTCACTCATGGAACCATCTGTGAGCCTCCTCAGTTCTTTAGATGATGGGAAAGAAACCCTTTCAGGCAACAGAGTAATGAGTGGTTTTCTGCTGCTGTTGTGATTACATTTGGGGAAGAGGATGAGGAGCAACAGGAGTACACACAGCCAGATCACCAGGAGGGAAGTCCTGCTAGTTATGTTGAGCTTTTAGGTTGCCTCAATCAATTTTGTGAAACCATACCTCAAGCTTATGTTCTTCAATTTGGTGCGGGTGACTCAAATGAGCTGAGAAACTGATGTGCAAGCTGCTCAGCAGGTCAGGTGGGATGGCGAGGGCAAGTGACTGGGGATGGGTTTGCAAGATGGCCTCACTGACCACGTGGGCCAGTGCACAACACTACTTGGGGTGGGAAACACTAATGCTGGTTGAGGAAAGCTCCTGAAATTTCATTAGCAAAATGCTCATCACACAATTTTATTAGAAAGGATCGTGCAGCAACTTTTACCTCTTCATTTAAGAGACCAATACACAAAATCTTGGAATAAAAACTATTGGGAACTGTGATTTTTCATATTGCTCTTATTTTTCAGAAACTATTATAAGCAACGGGTTAATTCTAACTGAGACAGAGTTTTGATTATCACAGAATCACAAAATCAACTAGGTTGGAAAAGACCTCTGAGATCGAGTCCAACCTTTGACCTAACACCACCTTGTCTACACTTTTTATTTTAATCTTGTTTTTAATTAATTTTTTCAATTAAACTGAAAATTCAGATAAGATTGCTTAAAAAAGGTAGAATATAACTGTAAACTTTGCAGTAACTAGCTTTTAAATAGAATTTTAGTCAACTTCAATAGATACACACTAGATGGAACAATTAGTGATGAGGGCACTGGACTGAGAGAGAGCAGGCGAACTTATGAATTGCTATAGGCTCAGGAGGGACATGAAATATTTGTAGACCAAGAAGTTACTAATCTGTGTAGCGAGATCTGAGAGGTCCTGTGCAGGTAACACAGTTGGCAGGAGAGAAAATAGTTTTTGGTTGTTTAAGATTGTTTAAAGAAGAGTCTTCTCTGTTTGTAATGTTAACTTCTACAAGTTTAATGTAGTCGTAACAAAATTAGGTTGCAGAAGAGGAGACGGGAAGGCATTTCTGTCTTAGTCCAATGGGAGACTATCAGTGTGCTTTACTGTGAAATGAGTGTGTTCCCTTATGAGGGTCTATGCTGTTCTGTGCTTGCTTTGCCTGTTTTGGGTGTCTGCTAAGATTCTAGATAAGAGCAGGGGTTTGGTGTGGAGGTGGTTTTTTATTGATATGTGCTGTTAAGTCCCATTTTTTATATATATGTGTGTACATGAAAAAGTTAAGAAAAATGAAATAATAGTGTCAACCACTTACCAAAGCCAATTTTTAACAAAAAAATACATTACTTGAGTGCAAATAAAAATTAAACTATTTTGATTTATTAGTATAAGACACCATTTCTATTCATACCTGAATAATACTTTTTTTTTAAATCATCATACAGATGTAATTAATGTGGATTCAGTTCTATGTATTTGCTCATCATTCTGTGACTTTCACTTTTCCCTATCACATTACCTGATTTAAACTCCTCCAGCAGAAAGTGTGTATTTTTTTCAAAGTAAAATTTACTTAAGGCTTTAGAAATTTGAAAAAAAAAAATTCCATACCATTCAGAGGAGGCTTAAAGCAGTTTCAGAAATGCAGTAGCTGAAGAATGTGCAGAATAAACTTGATGTAAGGATGTTGATTGTATGCTTACTGCCATAACGTTATCATCTGTCAGTCATATCTGAGCTGGAACTTAAAAACCTGTTAAATGTTTGGACTGATTTTTGTTCTGTGGAGCATTTAGGGGTGTGTAACTTCATATTGAATTGCTTAGGCAGCATAATACTGATGTTATTTCAAATCAGAAGTTAATTTGTATATTAATTTTATAATAAACCTATGCATTTATCATCCTAAATACTTTCTTGATTTGGTCTTCATTTTTTTTAATGCAGGTTTGTTGTTGAAGGTCATATTCCATATCTGAATGTTTTTCAGCATTTTCCGGAGAAGATGAAATTATGTGGACTTGATCTTAAGATCTTTTGTGTAGAGGTAATTTTTTTCTTAAAGGGAAAGATTAAAAAAAAAATCAACCAAAACCTAGTTATTTTGTGGTATTTTAGTTCTTTTGTTCACTGTACTAATAAACTGATTAAATCTATTGTTATGTAGTAGGGTTCATGTTTCACAGTGTTGGAGCCTGTGTGGAAACCAGTGCACTCTGTGACTCTAAGTGCTTTAATCTTTAACCAGTCTTATTAAGCTGATTACCTAAGTTAAAATGAAATCAATAAGTGCTTGTGGAGAAGAAGGTATTTAGAACTGCTCTTGAAATACTCAGAAATAGGGTTTGACTTGACATCTAAGGGCAGTATATTATCCTTTTCGGATAATATATTATATTATGCTTATTTAAGTTATCTTTTGAATTTGTTTGTAATTCCACATTCTTTTCATAAAATACAGTTTAGGTGCTATCTCTTGTTCCGTTTCTTGCTGTACTGGTTGAAATATACCAAGCCTAAAATCTACATAAGGGCTTACAGCCCTTTTAGGAGCTCAGTAGTGATGGACAAGTCTTGAGTGAAATGTAAATTTCCCTTATTTAAGATTATTATGTATTGTGGTAACAGTTGCCCGATGGTGTTTGTGATACAGATAAAAAGGATTTATTATGGATTTTTGAAGTGTGCAAATGAAATCTTAGCTTTTAAGAGCAGAAAGCAGCAATTCTGCTGACAGGAGAAGCTGGGTTTTACTCTGCTGTAATGGTTTTGTAGCCCAATGCCTCAGTGATGATGTTGCAAGTTGCATTACCATTATCCAATATATTGCTTATATTCAGCAGGTCATGAGTTGTTCAGGAGCTGTAGCTTCAGAAGTTGTAGCATTTATATTTTTGTTTTTATACCGCTGCTTTCTTGTTTGGATAAATGAGAATTATGACCTCAACTTTTAAAAATGAGAGGATCAATTTAATATAAAACATCTTGATTTCTTTTTCTGTCTTAGATATTTCCTTAAAAGAAAAGATATGTTAGGTTCTAATATGGGTGTAACCTTTTTTTTAAGGCCTTTTAAATTTTCATTCTCTCTGTCCTTCTTTGCCTCCATCCTTTGGATGTGTTTTTGTCTTATGAATTGCAACTGTAAAGCTTGTACCATATGCCAGAGTGGGAAATCTTGTTTGCAGAGAGGAGGTGACAGTTGCCCTTGGATAATCTTACTACTTTCGAAATAGAGGTGCACCCCTCACTTCCAAAGTGTAGGTAGATATGGATGCTAATCAAGTAATCTCTTAACTTTGTTTTCATTGAGATACATAGGTAAAGTTCTGTAAGCTTACTGTACCATTTGTTTTCCAGCCTCTCCAGTGTCATTGTGGCTTCCTCTTTTTAGGAATATCTGCTCCTACTTTACTCTCAATGATACTTTAGTAATACATCCTCAGGTTTATTTAATTTTAATGGGTTTTTTACTACATCATTGGGCTGATAATTGCAAAAACCTTACTAGCTCTTTCCTACAGCTTATGTTTCTCACTGTAGCACTGAGATTACCCATGGCTTACTGTATCTAGTTTTGACTTCTGAGTTTTGAGAAGTACAGGAGATGAGGTTATTGTCCTGGAGCAGGAAGTGAGATTGTGTATTACTCCATCCTGAAAATACAGCCTGCATTCTTTTCTCCTTTGTGTTATGTATAGAATATTTTATAGACAATTATCTTAAAGAAGTTTATGATATTAAGGCCATTATAACCAGGCAGGTAGGTTGTCCTAGTGCCATTATTTGTTGTGCTTCAAGTCTGGTGAATATAAGCTGCAAGCATGTTCCAAAATTCTGATAACTGACAGGACTATTCCATATGTCTTCATTTTTATTTTGAGCAGGTGTTTAGTGCTTTAAATTGTGTCCTGTGCAGCCCAAATTTGAATGAAGAAGTAATTATATTGTAGTAGCTTGAAGGATTTGAAGTAATTTTTAGTATCATTTTATCAGTTAAGTGCAGATGAAACCTAACTTGATAAGACTTACCTTGTAGAAAAATATTCTTAGTGGCTTAAAGATTTTTTTTCAGTAACAATTTCCCACATACCCAAAATATGCTGAATTTGTACAAGGTTGAAGTTGTTACAGATTTTAGAAAAATAAATGCGGCATTATTACAAGGTGAGTCACATTTACTTTCTATGTAGTGACGTGTTTATATATACATGCACAAGGGGTTTTTATATCTTGTCATTTATTAGTAGTATTTAATGTACAAAGACTGTGACTAGTCTCAGGCCTCCCAGCTGTAATGAACTTCTGTGCTGTGTAACTTAGGAATAGTCTGTATCACTGACCATTTTTCCCTGTCCTGCATACTATTTAGAAATTAGAGGTGATTGCAGTGTCTGCTGTGCAAGGAGAGGCTGAGAGAGCTGGGTTTTTTATCACTGAGAAGAGAAGGCTGGAGGGCATTTTGGTAATTTCAGTAATACCTGTCAGGGAGGAGTGGGGATGGAGTCAGGCTCTCTTCTTGGTGGTGCACAGTGGAAGGACAGGAGTCAACGGGCACAAAATGTAATACAGAAAATTCCATTTAAATACAAAACTGTTTTACACTAAGGATGACTGAATGCTGGAACAGATGACCCTGAACCACTGTGGGGGGCACAAAACCTGATGGGACACAGTTCTGAGCATGTTGCTGTAGTTGACACTGCTCTGAGCAGATGGATTGGACTCTGTGTAATCTCGGGGGGTCCCTTCCAACCTCAGGTATACCTTGTATTCTATTTCACATTTTCAGTGTAGGTGGCAGATAGGCCCTTCATATTTTAGTAATGGAACAGCTTACAAGAAGGGCATAATTCTTCATTCTGCTCAAACCGAACTTTATTTAAAATACCTGCCACAAAGGTTGTGGACACTGCTGTCCAGAAGTCTGGGAGCTCTGGCATGACTGTCTCATAAGTAAAGAGAAAAGGAGCCTCCAGCTCTCTTCATCATCTTTATCATGGTACATAACTGTTAGACGGGTGTCAGGTCCTAGCTGGAGGTAAGTGCTACCTCACAAGTATTTTAGGAAGGATAAAAGTATAGAAGATCTTTGTGTAAAATGAGTTGTTTATCTTTCCATTGCTTCAAGTCTCTTTTCTAAGCTTTTACTTATTATCATCCTATTTATTCCTTCCTCTATTAAGATCATGTGTATGTTAGAAGTTAGCCTTTGGAAAATGGCTTTTACCTAATGCATGGTTAGAGGGTTCACAGGGCAAACAGCAGCAGTAACAAGATGCTCCTACTTAGTTCAGAAGTTCTAACTTGCCAGTACAGGAGAGGAAAAGCAAAATTTCCTTTTTCTAAAACAAGTATTCTTGTTCCATTTGATTAAAACTTTTTGTTTATGTGTCAAGAAAGAATAAGATACTTAAGGTTTTGGTTTTGTTCTGTGCAGGAGGTCAAGAGGGTTTTTTTGCTGTTTTGCAATTTGTTTAACTACAGTAAATCTCTGCTTTGAGATGCACTGGCTTGTACCAGTAACCAGTATGTCTTTGATAAGCACAATCATCTTTTCTAGGTGTAAGTTTCCTTTATAATGTACAGGATATCTATTTCCTTTAAAGCCCATTAGTGTAGGAGTTAAAACGTGTTTGTAAGTCAGTACTAGTATATATAAAAGGTCAGTGGATAATTTGCTTTCAGCTTGTTTTATTTTATTGATACCATTTGTCCTATACTGGAGCTACACAAAAATTCCCTCTTCCATTTCTGCTTGAAGTAGGGATACATCCTTAAGATACACATCCTCTATTTTGCTTTTAGGGATTCATCTTTATCCTCATACAAAATTGATTAAAGCATCCCTTTTCTTTTAAACTAGCAACAGCTTGTCCTTGCCAGATCTGTCTGGCCTTACATTTTTGACTCAGGACTGTTTACCAAATTACCTTTTATGTAATTATTTTGTTTGTGCTTTAAAGTTGATTGTCTTTTCCTGTCTCAAATTTACCTTTAGATTTCATTATTTTTTATAAAACTCATTACTTTTTTGGCGTATTTACCCTTTAATGGATTGTAAATGGATTTTTTAGTCCAAAAGTACTTTTTGATTTTGATTCTCACGTTCTTCACACACACACAAATTTAAATGTACATGTATATATGGGTAAGCAGGTCACTCCCATGGCTATTGGGCAACATGATTTACTGAAGTATTGAAGATAACAAACACGTCACTTTGGAGTATGTGCTGTGTGCAACAGGATAGGTGTAGTCTTATAAGAATCTTTTAGATCCTGTTGTTCTAAGGAGCTTTGGGAATGGTTATCTGTAGATGCACAAGTATCTGGACTTGGCAAGGAGCCCAGTGTGTGACTTCAGTGAAATTCCCTTCTCTCAGTCTCTTCTCCAAGTTTAAAATAATGATTTTAGGAAAGAAGGAGTTAAGAATCTTTTTTTCTTAAAGGGGGGGCCAGGAGGAAGTTGAAGTTGGTGGGTGTTAGTCAAATTCTGTTCAGAACTGTCCACCAACTTGCCCTCAAAGACGAAAGGAATGGGTATTTACTAAATTATCCTTGCTACTTCTGCCCTGGAGTGTGGTCATGGAATGGCTTCTCTATATAACCCTTTCTTCCCACCTCCTCCTTACTCTTAAATGGAAGTAGCTGCACAATTCTAAGTCTGCTTGAAACCTTCGCTCTTTTACAAGGCCACTGAATGTTTTAGTGTTGACAGTGTTGTTGATATACCTTGCTGTCTAGAAACCTGCATCTTAAAAATACTTCCTTTTTTGTTTTGTAATTTAATTCCATTCCTCTCTTTTTGTGTGTTTTTTTATTTGTTTTTATGATCCCTTGAGTAGTGCTGTTCTATAACAAGAAATGTATTTACTTTAAGAGCTTTGACCTTGTAACATGATAAAGTTTCCATCCACATTACTTTTGGGTTGTTTTAGTATAACTTCTTATTTTTTGTTTCTTTTTACACATCCAACTTCCAAGTTATATTAACAGAATCCCTGTTTAGTTTGAATTCTGCTCTGTATAATTCACCTATTTCCAT